AAAATGCATTGTTGTTCTGTTGCAAGTAATCTTAAAGATTCCTAAATGCATCTACTTTCGGAAGGCCAAATAAAGTGCTTTTGCTTTCGCCTAGAAACACACAGCATCTCCCTGACATGACTGCTTCAACACTAACTGCGGTTACTGAAACCACGCCTTCTTTCTGTGCGTGCACATTTGGGCGGCATTATGCAAATATTTCCACATAGTGAGGTAGATATGTGGGGGCGTGTTAGAACGAGCCGTTTTAGGGGGGCGTGGCAGAGTCTTAACTTTGATAAAGAATATCTCTTTGGTTTTGAGACTTTAGTCTTTGCAACTTCAGGGATCTTATCTATGCACAATCAGCTCGTAACACTGCAAAGAGAAAGGAAAACTTGAAATCGTATCATATGACCCCTTTAAAATAAGGTTATCTCCATGGTAGTTTGTTTGTTTGGAGCTTGACAGCCCTAGTTCCTATTCAATTTCAGTGTGTGGAAAAGAGCTGCATCAGCATTCCACAGACAAAGAAAAGTTACATAAGTTTGGAAAGACATGAGGGTGAGTAAATTATCATTTAATTTTAATTTGGGGTGAACTTTAGGGTGTCGGTTGATGTAAATTCAGTGTTGGAAACAATTTGAGTGTTACACACAATGAGAGGCATGAGGGGCAAATCGGTGACCTCAGAATCAGTCCAAAACCCACCAATTATTCACAGCAAACACGGGTTATCACAGCATGCAGGAGATATCAAAGACATTCCAGCAGGAGAATGACAAAAGAGCGAGAGAGAGAGAGATAAGAGTCTGAGGATGGATGGATGGAAAATCAGTAGCCTTCTTTATCAGTTCAATGAAGCATTCATAGTACTGTTGATTAAACACATTTGTGATTAAATATGTTACTATATATTACCATACAGATATCTATACCTGGAGTCTCTATCTTATAGCATTCATTATCAGTTCAATGAAGCATTCATAGTACTGTTGATTAAACACATTTGTGATTAAATATGTTACTATATATTACCATACAGATATCTATACCTGGAGTCTCTATCTTATAAACTATTTAATTAAATGAAATGTTATAATAATTAGAAATAATAGTCAACAATAAACAATAATAAAAATATAGCCAATTATTATTGTTATTATATTAAAAGTTTCTAAAAATCATCATCATGCACCTGACCAATTAATACTAGCACTTATCTATTCTATTCAATTCATTTTTTCTAATTTATATATATAAAAAAAAAACATTGCTATGTGTACTGTGCTAGCCTAACTGAGACTTGTCACATCACTTGCTGTTGCTCTCTTGTTGGTTTGATTGCTTCTATTTGTGATTAAATATGTTACTATATATTACCATACAGATATCTATACCTGGAGTCTCTATCTTATAAACTATTTAATTAAATGAAATGTTATAATAATTAGAAATAATAGTCAACAATAAACAATAATAAAAATATAGCCAATTATTATTGTTATTATATTAAAAGTTTCTAAAAATCATCATCATGCACCTGACCAATTAATACTAGCACTTATCTATTCTATTCAATTCATTTTTTCTAATTTATAAAAAAAAAAAAAAAACATTGCTATGTGTACTGTGCTAGCCTAACTGAGACTTGTCACATCACTTGCTGTTGCTCTCTTGTTGGTTTGATTGCTTCTATTGTTTTCCTTATTTGTAAGTCACTTTGGATAAAAGTGTTTTCTAAATGATTAAATGTAAATGTAATGTAAAATCATCATTATTACTAGGCAAAACATTTTGGGGGATTAATTGTGACAATTTTTTGGATTATTATTCTTATTACTATTAGTATATATATTATACAGTCTGACAAGGACTATAGAGAATAGAAAAAAGAGGGATAAACCAGATAAAATTCCCCGTTTATATATATTTGAAACAAACATCAGCAGGTTATAGGACCATCGGTGAGTAACAGCGCAATCATTCCAGTCAGTAAAAAAGCAAGGGGTCATAGTTCATCTTCAGGATCCAAAGGAAGTGTTAAAAAGACAAAGTCTAGACTGAGAGGGATTATGTGTGAGGGAAGAAGTAGGAGTCATGATCGCAGAAAAAAGGGTCAGATTTGGTCACTATTTTCAAGCACTTTAGACTCAGTCACACTTGTGAGATTGAGTCCTTTGTGTGTCTGTCAGCATCCAGGTGATGCGTTTGTGTGTGAGCGGTTTAGACAGCTAATGTTTCATTTTGGCATTTGTTAGGCAGCAAATGAGCAACTTGAAGTACATGTGCAGCCTTTAAACTATTATTTCATCTAATAATATGAAAGGCACAAAATGGAAATCAGGTTACAGAACCAGAGAGGCTGGCTTAGATTCCTGCCGCTTGCATGTTTATTAAGTAGATGAAGACTTTGGGAAACCTAAATCCAAACCCTCAGTCTCAAAGAGCAATCAACCAGGTCTTTATCAGCAAAGACCCTCACAAACACCAGGCTCGGGTGTATGTGTCTGAGCAGGAGGCTTTGAAAGTGTGCTTGAGTAAGCCAGCGCAGACATGCCTGTGTGTTTTAAGCAAAGTCAAACAGGAAGCAGCACCAGAGCTCTGCTGCATCCAAACCACACTATGTTATCAGAGTGACAGACACATGCGCATACTGGTGTCTGTTTAGCTCTGAGATTATGTGTGTATGTTTCAGTATTAAATGGTTGTGTGCAGATAAAGACGTTTCTCTTGGCTTGGCTGTGGGAAATACCAGTCACACTCCCTCAACCTCGAGCTGAACCTAGCCCTGATAATCAGAGGCCTGAACATGCTCTCCCATGCTCTCAACACTTCTTTTCTCTCACATTATCCCTCTCTTGTTTGACATTCTCATGTCTCTCATAATTGCACAACATAGTGAACTGCCTCACTGCCTACTGCCTATTTAGGCAGCATCCTTACTGGAACTTCATTGGTGGTTCATTTGTAATGTTTTACATAGGCAGAAACTCACATGAAGCACACAGGAGACTCAATTTACAACTGATTTCTACACATGATAAGGACTTTCATAATGAGTATGCATATAACATACAAACTTTGTAAAACAGTAATTTATAGTCACTCAAAACAAGGTATATTAGGAGACGGCATAATTAAGTAACCAAACTTTTGTGATGTGTGCAGTAGGTTGAAGGTGTTGTCTGTATCATCTTGTCTCACCTGTAGTCCTCTGTCAGACTGACATTGGTTTCTTCTTTTCGCAAACAGCACAGAGCGGCTCCTCCCTCCAGCTGTAGCCGCACTAACCTGCTGTCCTCCAGAACAGTCCTCATCAACTCTCTGTACTTACACAATAAGATCTGTGCCTCCTGCAAACATACAAACACACACATTTATTACTATAAAACAGACACTGCTCTATAGCTGCACACATTCCCATACACCTTATTATTACATATACACATCTTATCTACTGTTCTCACCGAGTAATATCTGTCCCTTCTCCAGCACAAACACACACCCCATCATTATGTTCCTGCCTCACAAATTCCCTCGACATAGAGAGTAATATCTGCGGTTTCCACAGCAGCACACATTCCCTGTACACACTCTCATGAACAAAGGCATTATTATTCATTAAATGATATCTACACCTCCTTCATCTAATACCAGCTCATGTTTGTGCTCATTAAATTATCAAATGAGTTTAAGCTACAGTACAATGTGTTATACACATAACTGCCACACCTTCGGGTGTGTGTGTGTTGCCATTTTACTTAAAGCTGGATTTTATTCTTAATACAACACATGTCTTGCACTTTATGTACTGACCCCCTTTGGTGTAGGTACAGCATAATGATAGAGCAAATGTTACCAAATTCACTGTAGAAATGTGCACAGGTGTATTCATAAGCCATGTTTAATTCATTACATAACGGTAAGTTGGCTGGTCATCAGATTTAAACAACAAACCCCATGAGGGGTGACCCACTCTACATAGAACAAAACAGGTTTTCGAGGCCACTGATATGATAGGAGTCATCCCAGTGTGAGTGTACATTACCATTCAAAAGTTAAGTGTCGGTCTTAATCTAAAATATTATTATAATTTTAAACAACCGTTTTCTATTTTACATTTTTTTTTAATGTAATTTATTCCTGCGATAGCAAAGCTGAATTTTCAGCAGCTCAAGTCTTCAGTGTCACATAATACTTCAGAAATAATTTTAATAAGCTAATTTGCTGCTTGAGAAACATTTCTTATTATTTTCATTGTTGAAAACAGATGTGCACATTAATATTTTTGCAGAAACCATGATACTTTTTTTCAGGATTCTTTAACTGAATAGAAAGTTCAAAAGAACAGTATTTGTTAGAAAGATAAATATTTTGTAACAAGTTAAACTGTTAGTTTTTATCAATTTAATGCATCATTGCTGAATAGTAGCTAATTTCTTTAAAAAAAATTATGACTTTCATTTGAACTTATGTACATTGTACATAAGAGTGTACATGATTTGAAACACAGTCATCTCAAGTACTAATACTTTTTTTTTCTTCTTTTCAAATGGAAAATGTTTAAAATGGTTCAAATTACTTGGCACACATTTACTTTTCTGAAAATTGCCTGACAAAAGAGTATTGAAACCACCTCTGAAAGTGGTTCTTGATGGTAAACAAGGGTCATAAATTAGCAAAATGCCAACTTAATTAAAATCTAAAAAGGGGTAGTATTTGAGGTGTAATACTTTTTTGGGGTGTATGAGCCTATTTGTGTGTGTACCACCCAGAAAAGCATCCATAATACCTACCCAATGATGCAGATGGTGGTCTGACCACACTATGCAGAGTTTATAAGGCACTAACAAGAAAAGGTTATATTAAGGTTATAAGTGAATTTGAAAAAGTACTCAAAGTGATAAAAAATCTCAATTACTGTCATGCATCTACACCCTAATTAGCATGTGTGTGTGAAGTGGGATGAAACTGTAGAGCAATTACACAAATTCCAAATGTCAGTGGATGTTTCTGTTTTAAAGCCTAATTGCAGCTTTTTTTTCAACAGAACAGCTTTAAAACTCTTCATAGACACTGTATATTTAACTATTAAATGGATGAAAAACTGAACATATGTGAGGTAGTGCTGTGTTCGATACATTGATAGACGATGTATCGTCACAGAGATTTGACGATACGTGTATCGATACAGCTGTCCCTGTATCGATATCGTGGCACGTGTGCAGCAGTGGACCGCGCTTAATTTGAATACAAGAACACAGTTTAAAATGGAGTAGAAAAGTGCAAGGTTTCTAAAAAATAATGAATAGAGCATAATATATAGGCTACAACAAGGTTTAATCTGGCCGCAGAGGGGAACACAACCGGGGTTGCCTGATATGAAGAGACGTAATCCCCGAAACAGAGCTTCACACTTGCGCAATATGGAAATGTCTGCTAAGTGCGTTACTTATTTTTGTCAACCTGGCAACCATTTATCCACTTTCTCCACTGTGGATAAACGCGCTTGCTTTCGGAAAACACCGGTAAGCTTGCAGTTTAGCGATCTACACTTCAATATTCTATTCTCAGAAAAGTGTAATTCATCAAGTGTTTATTTACGAGAGAGAGAGCGAGGCTGTATAAGTATGAATTACCACCATTTTGCCGCGTTTCTCTATTAACAGTGAAGTTGTGGATTTAATTGCTTTAGAAACAATGATGTTACCAGCTCCTTGTGCCAACATATGCCATTACCTATATTGTACTGTGGTACAGTTATGGAGGCCCTTCATAATGTAGAGGTCAACTGCCTGTTCTGCCAATAGTTAGAAATGGCCCTATAGTATGCCGTGTTTAATAAACAGTTGTTTTACTAAATTCTGCTTAGGTGAAATCTCTCCACTGTGGATAAACGCGCTTGCTTTCGGAAAACACCGGTAAGCTTGCAGTTTAGCGATCTACACTTCAATATTCTATTCTCAGAAAAGTGTAATTCATCAAGTATTTATTTACGAGAGAGAGAGAGAGGCTGTATAAGTATGAATTACCACCATTTTGCCGCGTTTCTCTATTAACAGTGAAGTTGTGGATTTAATTGCTTTAGAAACAATGATGTTACCAGCTCCTTGTGCCAACATATGCCATTACCTATATTGTACTGTGGTACAGTTATGGAGGCCCTTCATAATGTAGAGGTCAACTGCCTGTTCTGCCAATAGTTAGAAATGGCCCTATAGTATGCCGTGTTTAATAAACAGTTGTTTTACTAAATTCTGCTTAGGTGAAATTCAGTGCAGTCCCGTATCATGACTTTGCTGGTGATACACAGCCCTAATATGAGGCTTATGTGGAAATAAATCAGAAAATAAATCAGAATCGCAGTGAAAAGACATGAAAAAGAAGAGGGCACACGTTCAGATTAATGGAGGGAGACAGAAGACAAAGAAGAAACAACCGAGAAATGAGAGGACAGGCCGAGACATGTTTTAGCATTCTATTCATTTAAAGGGGTCATATGATGCTATTTCAATTTTCCTTTCTCCTTGGAGTGTTACAAGCTCTTGGTGCATAAAGAAGATCTGTAAAGTTGCAAAGACTAAAGTCTCAAATCCAAAGAGATATTCTTTATAAAAGTTAAGACTTGTCCACGCCCTCCTAAAACGCCTCATTTAAACACGCCCCCACATGTCTACGTCACTATGTGGGAAGATTTGAATAACACCGCCCAAATGTTCAGGCAAAGAAAGAAGGCGTAACTTTTATTCTCACTGTAGTATTGTTGTTGGCGCCGGTCACGCCATGTCGCGAAGGTGCTGTGTGTTTCATTGTGAAAGCGAAACTACTTTGTTTGGCCTTCCAAAAGAGGACGATATCCACTTCGTCATGCCTGGAGCTGATCCGTGCTGGTCGCTGAGGAAATACATAAACTTTGCGCTGTGGATCGCCGGATCACCTTTCACCGTGGACGAAGCGGAGTCCAGCACAGGTCGTCACATGTGGTTGCCGCATGCCCGCTCCTTTGTCGAATCTTCGTTTTAGCATTCAACACAAAGTCAAGCAGAAATCCATACCCTCAACCACCAGACCCTTTCTGCCTCTCCAATCTACTCTTCAAATAATCCCTTTGAATGTGATTTTAAAGATGGATGCAGATAAACACCCCTCTGGGAGATCATTATTTCTCCTGAGGCCCTGTTTTTCCCCAGAAGCCTGTGGATAAAAAGGTCCTTTGTGACCTCCACTGACAGCCAGAGGTCAACTCAGTCAAAGCCTTGACACACTAACCCTAACCACAAACAAACCGAACCTATTTTTCAAAACTAGACATCTCTTCTGAATAGAACCGTCTTTAAATCACCGTAACTGGACACCAGTGCCACTGCTATGCTTCATGGAAACAGAATAGAAGTCTCTCGGACTCAAAATAGAATATTTCAGTGCCATTGTGATGCCCTCCTGAGGTAGAGTTCACTATCAAGCTGACTTATGCAGGTAGTCATACAGAGTCCTCAGGCTGCATTCTAAGTAAACATCACTAAAATCAAGAGTTTGGGGGCCTAAGTGGATCACAGACAAAGTATCCACAATACATATTCCTCAAACAATAGACCATAGCAATGCCATGAGTTCGGTTTCCAGGGAATGCAAGAACTGACAAAAATGTCTACCTTGAATTCAATAGAAGACGCTTCGGATAAAAGAGTCTGCCAAGATATATACATACAGTACACAGCTCTCTCATTCTGGACAGGGCTGGGACAAAGCATTTTCTGTGAGACTGCTCAGCTGAGCTGTTTTTAGAAAAGTATTTTATTGACTCTTGCAGTACCTCTGCTGTAGGTGGCAGCACTGAGGACTCCAGTTTGCTGTTGGTGTTCTGAAGAAGGTTCACAGCATCCTCACAATGGCTGGTAAGCTGTTCCAACCTCTGAAATATAACAGAAAGAAATGTTTAGAGTAGTAACAAGAAACCAATAGAAAAAACTTCATACTCCATAATAATAACCAGAAGTTGTCAGATATGGTACAACATCTAATATATGCATATATATGACTACACATGAAATTATTTATATCTAAATGTTTTAAGTTGTCTGGCAACTATAAAAATATTAATTGGCAAAGGAACTGTTTATTGTGATCATTATTAATACATTTAAACCACTGAACACTTTTATTATATTATGGCTGCGTGGCCTTTTGTGGCTTATTTCTTTATTAATCCATATTAAGGTTGGAATGCAATACACAATTAAAAAAATCTGAATAGATTTTAAAACACAAGGCATCATTCACTTGGCAACTTTTTTGAAATGGTTACAAAGAAACTTGGCATAATACTCTAAATGACTGAGGATCACACACCAAGGGATTTTCAAGTCATTCCTGAGCCGTTTCTAACATTCGCAGAAACGTGTCTCTTTTTTAGGAGGCACATGATGGATTTAATACAGAAATCAATGTGTTCTAAAATCGGCTAAAAATATCAAACATATTTAATATCCTCTGACTGAGCAGATTCAGGGTAAAAGACATGTCGTGTATTCCAGCTTTCAGTGATATAAATGATGAAGATGATGATTTTCTCACCATTCTGAAACAGATCCAGCTGCTGTGTGAATAAGGGAAAGTGCCTTCAAACTCAGTGGGGAGTTGAGCGATGTCCACATGCTTATAGAGAGATTTGAGTGATGTCAACAACTCCACCTGACAGATGCCAAAAGAACACAACAACCCTCAGGTTTAGCTTCTGCATTAAAAGGGGACCAATATGTATTGCAGTGCTATCATAAACACTTCAGATGCCACAATAGCTGTTCTAATAGCTTAGATAGATGTCTGAGCTACTCTATCTGTCCAGCTGTTGTGACATTCTCAACTGAAGCACTTTCCTACGTAGCTACAAGAGTCTATCTCTGGCAGTCAGATTTGTGTCAGGCACAAGCAGCGTCTCAGTACAGACACTTGTGTTTTAAAATAGCCATCTATTTCTCAGAGCGTGCAGAGTAACTAGCTGAAAGCCAGATTTTTGACAGTGCTGTTGGATGCGGTTTGTTTCTATAAGAGGGGTCACTATGCTCTGGAAAAAAAACATTCAGCTACATTTTATTAAAGGATGTTTTTCTCTTTTCCTTTATCACTAACTAGAACCCTTCAGTAAACTGACATTGTTCTCCAGGATCTAAAGGTCAAAACTGACTATTTCCTCTCCTATAGACTAAACTATGGATTTATGTTTGTATTTTCCATTCTACCACCCTCACCACATAACATAACACAGATGTTGTCTTTTGCTGTTATTGTTTTGTTACTGTGTTACTGTGGCTGTAAAGTCATGGCAAGTTACAGATGATGGGTAATATTTGTGCGTTACCGGTATAGAAGTGGTTTTCTCCACACGTAGAGCCAGATCTCTGTCGGCCAGCAGCAGTACTGTATGGATGCATCCCGGGATGGCTTCCTACAGAGATTGAATAGATTAAATATCACAGACAGCACCATGAATTACACATTTCACTGACTAAACCAGAGTTCACCAAAAAATGTATGATTAGCGAATAAGATTTATAGATATTGCTACTGATACAGATGCATACAGTGGAGCTTGCATTTGTACTATTTGACTATTCCTTAAATTCACAATGAAACAGAAGAAAAGACTTTCTTCTGTATTGTGATGTATATCTGAGAGTAACAGATTATTGAAAAAGAAAAAATGCAGGGTGGGGATTTGATTCTATCCATCGGTTGTTGACCGGTGGAGGCAGATCTGAATGTGAGCTTGTAGTCCATTGTTTTAAGCAAAGTGTTTGGGAAGACTTCAGTGTACAGAGAAAAGCTTGTCGTTTCACCGGAAGTTATGACATTTTGACAAAGAATTAAGACGTTAATTTTTTTTAAAAATATGTATGGATGAACGGCAAGATCAATATTGTCAATAACATTTAGAAAACGGGGTGAATTTTCATTTAAAGGAGACATATTATGCCCCTTTTTACAATATGTAATATAAGTCTCTGGTGTCCCCAGAATGTGTCTGTGAAGTTTCAGCTCAAAATACTCCACAGATCATTTATTATATAATTTTGAAAATGCCTATTTTGAATGGAAGCAGAAACACGCTGTTTTTTGGGCCTGTCTCTTTAAATGCAAATGAGCTGCTGCTCCCCGCCCCCTTTTCTAGAATAGAGCTGTGCCTTTACAGCTCATATCTGCTAAAAAACATCTGTTTTGGTTCTGATTATCATGTTTATCGCACTGAAATCATGCGTTTTAAACCATATGAGTTTAAACTTCAGATATACGGTTTTCTGAGCGCACAAATCCGAAGCACACGGACAGAAAGCGCCTATCACAGCATGTGAGTACTAAACTAAGTTCTCATTCACACACAAGTTTACGTTAAAAACACACAAAGTTAAAAGAGTTACAAAAACAGTCGGTTATGTCTGTGAAGGTAAACAGCTGGGAAATAAATCGCTTGTTTATTTTAGATCTGTGTGGCAGCAGCAATATACAGTAAATAAATCAATAAATCCACTGCTCTGTTGTCTCCTCTGAGGCTGGGACTGTAAACAGTGTTCTGTACTCGTCTGTGCAGCCAAAGGCAGAACAGTTAGCATGTTTTGCTCAGACTTTCACCATGGCATTAGAGCTGCTACACTGTTGTCGCTTGCGAAATCAAAAAGGAACTGTGGGTGGAAACTTACAGATTAAGGGGCAGTAATATTATAATAAGATCCCTTTGCCACGTCACCGAGGGAGCGAAATCTGACACGCTAATTTTCTCATACGCTTGCAGAAAAAGGCTTACCAAAACAAAGTTACTGGTTTAATCTTTTTCACGTTTCCTTGGTTGGTAGATGCACTTAAAACCAGGAAAAGTTAGATTTTCATGATATGTCACCTTTAATGACGACTTTAAACTAGACATTTACATCATTTAACAGAAGTTTTTAAAGGTTACATAACCTAGCAGACAATTTTCTGTCATGTGCCCCAAGAAATACAATAAAAGCCTTCTGTCAGTGTGAATGAAATGAGTTATATGCTCCATAACAAAAGAGCAGAAAAACAACACTGTAAAAACAGACCAGAGAAGTCTATTATGCCATTTGAGAGCTGTTTTTGTCTGTTTTCTTGTATCCATCATGCATACTGATCATGCACGCATTATCATGCCATCATAGCCACATCAGAACAGAAGGAAGAAAAGCTTTGCTGGAATGAAACAATAGCATATTTAATAAGGAATATTTAAACATAAGGAATGTTCCAGAAACATCAACAAACTCTTCAGGGCACAGCAGTTTTCATTTTCACTTTGCTTTTTGAGTGTATTAAAATAATGAATATATGGTGAGTTTGGATCAGGTTTCCAGTTTTCCCCTGTCATGTGGGGGCTGAAGAGAGGGAATGATAAATGTGGGGACTGTTCCAGGTTAACAAAAGCCTGACAGAGAATAGAATATTTTGGGATTATACTTTGGTCACACTTTATATTAGGTGTCCTTAACTACTATGTACTTACATAAAAAAAATAAGTACAATGTACTTATTGTGGTCATATTTTATTGCAAAACACGTTTGCTGCTTTTGAGGTGGGATATGGGTAAGGTTAGGAACAGGTTTGGTGGTATGGGTAGGTTTAAGGGTGGGTTAAGATGTAAGGGATGGGTCAACAGTGTAATTATAAATGTAATAACAGAAATTAATTACAGATGTAACTACATATAGGTATTTTTAAAAAATATAAGTACAATGTAGAAACATGTATGTACACAGTAAGTGCATTGTATCAAATGATTCATTTAAATGTAAGTACATAGTGGTTAAGGCCACCTAATATAAAGTGGGACCATACCTTTTTATTAAGACTGATAAACTAAACTCAAATGTGTTGTGTCACAACTACAAATATATCAATCCTTTTATACACTGCTGTTCAAAAGTAAATTTTTTAAAATACATCTATTCAGCAAAGATTCAGTTGATCAACAGTGGTGCTAATATAATATATATAATCAAATCAGCATATCAGAATGATTTCTGAAGGACCACGTGACACTGAAGACTGCAGTAATGGCTGCTGAACATACAGCTTTGCCATTACTGGAATAAATTAAGTATTAAAACAGAAAACTGTTTAATATATCTAAATTATACAAATAATTAAATGATGAAAAAATTATGTTTTTGCTGTATAATAAGATGATAGTATCAGAGGAGGAAGGAGAGCCCGTGGCTGTTCCCTGAGGACCGGTCACAGAGCTACTGCATTCATTCAGACAGATCTCATCTGTCAGTGTTAGCACTGACCTTGAATACAACGAAAGGTGCTCCAACACGTGACGCTCACATAGTTTATCATCAAGAATCTCCTAAACATTCAGTAAAGCCACCTTTTCCAAAAGATAGCACTTGTATGCTGTCATCATGGATTACAGATACAGATAGAAGATCAAAGAGGAGGGAAAAAAATAAATGAAGGAAAGGACAAAGGGGTTTTCTGCAGCTGTGCTACAGCTCAAATTAGCAGAGACAATAAAAACCTCTCATATCAGCCCAGTGCTATTTAAAACAATACTGTCATTAAAAACATTCTCAATTTTACTTCTATATTGCTCATGTTTACCGCTCTCTATCTCACTCAGGAAGTTTAAATGGTGAAGTCAGCACTGGCAGATCCTCAATCTTTTAAAGTGGGGCAGGTTGTTGGCAGGAGAAGAAAGCAGCATTAAGGTCCACGGCACAAACTCTAAAGTCACTTCTATTGAATGTGCTCAGGAATCATGTTCCTGCAGTATTTCTTTATTGGTGTCCTCACATCCCTCGTGTAAATGACTGCTGAGGTGATTCAGTCATTTCACTTGAATATCTTCTACAGTGTAAGGCCACTCAGATGAGATAAGGCCAGGCTACACTTGTAAAAGATGAACCTTTAAGCACTGAGATGAAATCTACGTAGCTAACTACTGACAAGAAAGAATCCAAGTTCTTTATGTCATTAGTTGATATATTCTGCAAAATAACCAATCCCAGATGAGGAAAGGAAAACCAAACCCATCTCCCTCGCTCTCTAACGCTCGTGTGAGTATGTCCTATTGTGTAACTCTTTCTGTTTGCGATAACTATTTATTTCCACAGCTGGTAAATCACAGTTAATATTTATGATGTGCTGCTTTTATTTGCCTTGTTTAGCCAAAAATGACTGATTTTGTCGATGGAAATTCTTCTAGAATGTTTGTTTTAGTTTAGTAAGCCATCTTCTGAATTCCTAAGTAGCAGATGTCTGTTTAAAGTAAATATCAGGATACATGGCAAGTTTGTATTCCATTTAGTTTTGAAGCAAGTATGTGAAAGGAAACACCTTGAGGATGTGAACGGCATGTTACAGTTCTCTCTGTGTAGGATTCTCTGGAGGTTATGGACGAATGGTAGACTGTATATGTGTGCGTTATGACAAATCATACTGTCAGGGTGTTCTTACCTGGAGGCTGTTGAAGGCTTTAAAGAGGGCGGGGACAGGAGAACACCTGCGGGCATCCACCAGGACAGTCAGTCCCAAAGCACTAACTTCCTTCCTGTTTGTCAAATCAAGGTCAAATTTTTGATGAAGGATGGGTAGAATAAAATAATAATAATAATAATAAAATTACATATACAATTGTTTGTTAGTTTATTTACAAAAACAGCACAGGATGATAAAAGTAGACTTCGAAAAGTCAACTGATTCAGAGAGAGAGAAAACCAACACCACCGTTCAAAAGTTAAGGGTCAATAAGATTTTCTTGTCTTTTTTAAAGAAATTAATACTTTTATTAAGCAAGGGCACATTAAGACAATCAAAAGTGCTGGTAAAACATTTATAATGTTATAATGCTATTTCAAATAAATGCTGCTCTATTCTATTCACATTCTATTCTAAAACATTCTATTCATCAAAGAATTGTGAAAAAAATACATCATGGTTTCCACAAAAATATTAATCAGCACAACTGTTTTACACATTGATAACAATATTAAGAAATGTTTCTTAAGCACATTAGAATGATTTGTGAAGGATCATGTGAGACTGAAGACTGCTGAAAATTCAGCTTTGCCAACACAGGAAAAAAATAACATTTTAAATATATATTTAATTAGAAGAACTATTTTAAATTGTAGTAATATTTCGCAGTATTACTGCTTACACTGTATTTTTTATCAAAAATATGAAGCCTTGGTGATCATAACAGACTTCTTTCAAAAAATATGAAAAAAATAAATAAATAACTGACCGCAAACCTTTGAACTGCAGTAGTTACCTGAGTGTACTGAAGAAGTAGACCATGATCCGCACCAGCTCTCCACTATTGCAGTTTGGATTCAACCAGATAGTGTTTCTTGTTGTCACTGTCACAAGCGCGTGGCCTGATTTATCTCTTGTTCCTAAAATTGATTTAAAAAAGATGAGCTTTTGGATCAAATTGATGGAAAGACCACATTAATAGCAATTAAAGAAGACCCTCACCAGGCAGGCAGAGCACTCCTGAGCTCAGGACATCAGGATTGATGTCATGAGCCTCACTCTGGACAGGCTGGGTCTTCTGGGAGATGGGCGGCAGTGGTGGAGGAACTGCTGAGGGGTCTTCACCTTGGGTTTTAGCAGACAGATGGGAAACAATACTGTCTACTTCCTGACTGGATGCTGGAATATTAAAAAAAAAACATTTCAACACAAACAACACCAGCACACAAACACACACACACACACACACACACACACACACACACACACACACACACACACACACACACACACACACACACACACACCTAAAATGTAAACACAGAAACCCATTGCAAGTCAGTTTAAAATGTTGACAACAGTCATAGTCTTTAGTACATATAGTACATTAGTACATAGCCTTTAGTAAGCCCACAGATACATTGATTTGATCAATGTGAGTTAGTCTTTACTGCAATGTTTGATTGCTCAAAAATAGACAAAAATAACAAAAATAGATTTAACTGAGACTCTTGCTCACTGAAGATATACAGCACAGCTTACTGATGGCTGACTGATAACTATATTTGGCTCAAACTTCAAAAAAAGCAAAATCTCTGGGTCATGAAAAACAAAGCTATTCAGAATCTGAAAACACAGAGGTCTTTTCACATGACAGATCTCTTTATAAAGCCAGTAGACCCACATTCTCTATAATCCCCTATTAACAAACAGCAACACAGAGATGTTTGATAGGAGCATGAGCATTTGTCCAATCTGTACCATCATGCAGCTTGGCCCTCAAATCACAAACACACTCTACAAGCTCATTTTAAGCATTCGATGTATCATCCTGTGCATCGACCCATAGGGCAGCTTGGATCTCTGCCCCATGTACCTGACAGCAAGATAGGGCTCAGAGATAACTGGAGATCAGCTTCCGACAGTCCTAAAACTAAAGTTTCACTTTGCTGCGCTGCCACGCACTGATGCTGCTGTGCAGAAAATAGATACTGAGATCAAAAACAGATGAGATGGAGTCCTAGGACTCATAAAACAGCTTGTACAAGGACAAGGAAAACAAGTATAAATTGATCTGAAGCATAATCTGGCTGAGATTGCTATATTTCAGAAGAGATTTGAGCTGGAACCGCTGAAGTGAGCTTCTGAGAAAGGAAATCTAAACATAATGGAATGTACTTCTTCAGTTAGGTAAAAAGCTACACTAATTTTAAAAAATACACGTTTTACCCCCACTTTCTCTCTGCTTTCTCTCTGTCTCCTTGTCTACCCAACATCCTCCTCGCCAGAGAATGTTCACATTGAGGAAGTCGACCATATGAGCCCCCCCGAGGAGCCGAGTGCTGCCCCAGACAGGGCAGAGCAGAGAGGGTCTTGGCTTTACACTCTCTCACCACAGTCTGGAGTTCAGTCTGGCCACGGGCCATGTCCTCAGCCTTTATTCTTTGTGCATTTCTTCTCCTTTCTATCTGATTTTCTTTTCTTTCTGATGTGGCTGCGGACACTGAATAGTCAGACCGTTAGGGACAACTCTATAACATGCTATTTATACTGAATGTATTTTCATACAGCAGACACATTCATTATTTTTATTGTAATAGAATGACTGCAATTACGTGCCTCCCTATGAATGTGTGTACATACTGTATATGTGTCTGTTGTAAAAATCACACATTAGTAAATGCATGGTCTGGCCAAGCAGTCACAAATCAAACATTGCTCACTTTTGGAAATTTTAGGGATTTTATCCATACTATCTAGTTCTTTAGTCAGTTTGTAAATGTGTGTGTGCGTGTGTGTGTGTGTTCCATCTGCCCAGCTCATCAGCTCTCTCTTTCACAGACTGAATACTCATCAAAGTCTGTACTGCTTTTCAAGAGGTTTTATAGATTTTTAGAGAAGCATTGTCCAAAGATAATTTTCCTTTCAGAACTAAAAATAGTCAAGCTAAACTCCCCACTGAATATTTGAAGTTAACTTTTCAATTTCTAGTGAATCTAATACACTTGAAACAGTGGATTAAAAAAGTGACACCCGAAATCCTCTGAAAAATTCATACATGATGAAAAGACTAAATGAAAACAGAAAAAAATAGCAGATAAGCTTACTTCTTTGTGTGTATAGAGGTAACAGCCATAGAAACACCGCTGTAGTACTAAAACTCAAAAAATGTTTAGGGTTTGTGAACCACCCACTATGAGAGAAAGAATCAGAACTATCATAGTCAAACTACCACAACAAACACACCATCATTCTTCTTTCTGCTGTTCCTGTCTTCAAAGCAGTGCAACCCCCCACCCATTCTCCATCTATAACCCTCAAACAAACACATTTAAACACCCCCCTCCGCTTACCCCCTGCATTTTCAGAGGTCCCGCAGCAGGGTTTGTGTTCAGGCCCACCCACCTCACCTCATCTTATGTATCTTTCTTCACACCTGTAGCACACCTAAGCCAGGTGAGCACATCCTGGCAAGCAAATCCTCTGGATGAAGAGGAGGTGGGACACTGACAGCAACCTTTGTGGAAACTCACAATGTGGAGGACTAATTAAAAAAAAATTTTTTAATAATGACGTGGCCACGTATTAAGAATTTGTTAGTTTGTGTTAATCAAACCGTGGCCATGTTGTACTACTTATTTAATATATTGTAGGAACTAATTAGGACAGAGTGGCCTTGCTTTACTTAAAATGAGGGAACAAATTAATAAGTCATAGGAACAAACTCGTAATTTGTGTACAGGGCTTCATAAAACGCAGATATAATGCATTATGTATTCGCAGACAAGCAGCTCCTGATCACACAAAAACACTCTGCTTTACTCTCTACAACAAATGTCTAAATATAGTTGAATCTAAACGAAAGCAGGATTGAGTTACTAAAGTACACAAAGCAGAAATCCTGCACATGACCCAGGCTTCTCTTCAGCTGTTTCCTTTAGCAGTTCAGATTTGAAATGGCGTCTATATTGGACGATGTTCAGTGGAATTAATGGGTGTCCAAATTTGAAAACAAACTGTCTAGAGGCCGGAATATGACCTGCTATGAAGTCAGTCCTTGTAAAGCGCCCAGTCTAAGTAAAACCAGAGCCTCCCACGCTTTTCTTTCAGCCTAAAGAGAAAAGGAGCTCTATCAGGCCATTGCACGGGCCATTTGAGAGCCATTTGTAACTTGTCAGAGGCCTGAATCTCAAAACGCCGGAGCTAGTCTGCTAATCTAGAATAAATATACTAGGTGGGCATGGCAATAAATGAATGATGAAAAAGAATGAAAGAGAAGCAGGTCCTTCTTCATCAGCAGAGGAAGTCTTTAGATGCATCTGAAGCAGATGAAAGCTTAGATGCATGTTAAGATGAAGAAACAGGGATTGAGGCAAAAGGGGAAATAGAATGGGAAAAGTGGGAGGAGTTTAAGGAGAAAAAGCATGTGGATAATGTAAAGGTGAGCGGGATGGACTTTGGTAAAGATGACTCTACCTTGCTCTTCCTGCTGATGGTAATGGGTCTCCATGTCTGCTTGTTGCTGATGCCCTGCTGGAGAGCCTTTCACAGAGGAAGTAACCTCATCCTCTTGCCTCTCCTCCTTTTCCCCCTTTCTCTCCTCCTCCTCCTTTGATTTTTGCCCTTCTCGTTCAGTGGTAGGTGTGTCCTGAGTGTGCATGTGTCCATTTGTGTTCTGCACATCTGCGTCTGCATCAAGGACTTGATTGCATGCTGACTGGACTCTATTTTCAGAATAGCTGGTCACTATAGCCCCTTGCTCACTCACAGTAATGTCCTCTGTCTCCTCTTCCTCCACCCTTTTCTCTTCAACATTGGTTTGTTTCTTCTCATCTGTTCCTTCAGAGCAGCTGCCCTCCTCCTGAACTTGAACGTTGGAATCAGACTTGGGTGTGGAATCTACCAGACCTGTTTGAGCAGTCTCAACTTCTTCTGCCCTACACACTGCTACTATATCGTTCTCTGTTTTGCTTTCTGTGATTCCAATGATTTTCTTTTCTACCATTTCTCCCTCCTTACAAGGTGACTTTCCCGCAACTTCTCTTTCTACATGTGCTGCTTTCGTCTGGAGTTCCACCTCAGTCTTGTTGTTTCTGTCCTCGCAGGACTCGGTCCTCACCTGACCCTGTGAAATGAGCGTAACTAGATCCTCCTCAGGCGCCGTGGTGACAGAGGCCAAAGCTACCTGTTTGCTTTGTGGAGCAGCCGAAACAGGCCCACTTTCTTCCTCTGCACTGAAACTATAATCACCATCAGATTCATTATTGTCATGGCTACTGTTACTAAATGCTTGATGGTCTTCTTTTGTGACAGAAAGATCATGCACTTGCTCAGATGGTGTTTGGATGTGTCTGCGTGTCTGACATAGGCTGTGCTCTGTTTGCTCAGTCTGTTTTTGTAAAGACACACTGACAGCTAAAGGCTCAGAAACCAACAATTTGCTATTCTGCAAATCACAACTGCCTTTCAGGCCATGATCACCTCTGACCTGCTCAGATTCAGATATGACTTCTGCTGCAGCAGCAGGATCAAACACAACAAGTTCAATATTAGCCAGAGAAACTTGTTCTGAGTTTTCACTCTCTAAAGTACCAGATAACATTTCATTTTCTGGTTGTGATATACTAATTACTTTGCTGTCTGGTTGCTCCATGCGAACTGTTTTGTTGTCTGTTTGTGATGTACTTAGTGGCATGTTGTACAAATGTGATGTATTGAGTGGTTTGCTATCTGGTAAAGATAAACTAACCAGTTCACATTCTAGTTGTGCTGTGTGGAATAGTTGGTTATCTGGTTGTGATGTGTTGACTAGATTGTTGTCTAGCTGAGATGAGCTTAGTGTTTTGATGTCTGTTTGGGATGTCTTGATTGGTTTATTGTCTAGTTGTGATATGTTGACTGGTTTGCTGTCTAGTTGAGATAAGCTTTCTTGTTTGTTGTCTAGTTCAAATGTGCTAACAAATTTGCTGTCTAGTTGAGATATGCTTACTAGTTTATGGTCTGGTTGTGACATTGTGACTAGTAGTGATGTGCTGACTGGTTTGCTATCTGGTTGCGATGTGCTGACTAGTTTGCTGTCAAGTTGAGATGTGCTTACTGGTTCAACGTCTGGTTGTGATGTCTTGACTAGCTCATTAACTAGTTGTGACATGCTGACTGGTCGGCTGTCTGGTTGTGATGTGCTGACTAGACTATTGTCTAGCTGACCTATGCTTACTGGTTCAACGTCTGGATGCGACGTCTTGACTGGCTCATTGTCTAGCTGTGATGTGATCACTAGATTGTTATCTAGTTGAGACGTGCTTTCAGGATTAACGTCTGATTGTAATGTCCTGACTGGCACACTGACAAGTTGTGCTGTGCTGACTGGTTTGCTGTCAGGTTGTGATGTGTTTATTGGTTTAACTTCTGATTGTGTTGACCTGACTGGCTCGTTGTCTAGTTGTGATGTGTTGACTGGTTTACTGTCTGTTTGTGATATGTTATGTGCTGACGTATCAGAAAGTGGAGCAGAATCACAGTCGGAGTGTTGAGACACAAACTCACTCTCAGACACACTGTCACAGGAGGCTGTACCTGCAGCACAGGTGTGCTCAGACCCGTGCACCTGCTGGAGTGGACGCTCTGCCTCTGCAGGAGCAGTGCAGGTTAAGATCACAGGTTGGTAGGTATCACTCAGGTTTTCTTCAATCAGCATGGCACACAACATGCTCTGTGAGCATGCGCCATTCTTCAAAAGACTCTGCTCTGGTTTGGCTTTAGACTGAGTAGAAGCCGCAGTCTGTGGTTTATGTAGATTTCTGTAGTTCATGCTAATGGCTTGAGTGAGAGAGCCCTTCTGTGGGGAAAAGCGCGGTAAGGAGATATCAGCTAGCTCCACATACTCTCCCTCTGAATCCTCTGCCGTGCTGCTAGAGCTCCGTCCACTGCTATCTTTACCGATCTCACTGAGAGCAGGGAGGAGCTTAACCCCCTTGCTCTGACAGTCCATCTCCCTTGATTGGTCAGTGGAAGTGTCAATAAAAATCCTACATTGTATGTCCTCAGGGTTGTCTTCTTGATCTATGTCTGAGTCTCTTTCCTCTCTGTTGGCAACTTCCTTGCACACCCCTCTACTTTCAGCTTGTTCTGTAACTTTGGGGGGTCTGCTGATAAACTCCGGGTGAACAATATCCTCCCAGGGTACCCTAAAAATATCATTATCCGCTGATAAAAGACAGTGTTCCAGGGCGGCTCGTCTGACCACACTCCTCCCCCGGTTGATGGAGTCCAGCCAATCCATGGTAAATAGAGAGGTGTATGCTAGCTCTGGCACATCCAGCTCCTCCACATACTGCCCACTAACTGCCAGACACTTCACCGTGATACGTGGGCGGCTTTTGGGCGAAGGCGTCACCTGTAAGTAGAAGTCGCTGGGCCGTAACACACGCCAGTTCAAAGAGGAGAGCTGAATTATGACCTTCTCATGGACACACAGCGGCCAGCCCTCATGACGAAAGAGGAAACCACAGTATGGGAACTGCAGAGAAAAATAGAGGGAATAATCAGTCAGGCCATCAGTAATTGTTCATTTAACTGTTGATTAGTTACATAGAAAGACTTGCTGGACACATTTCAGTTATCTTAAAAAAATACATGAAAAGATTTTTAATATACTGCTAATAAAAAAAACTCTAGCAAAACAGAGTTAGAGGCAAGGTTCTGTCAATGGGTCATCCAGCTAATTTATAATATTTGGCATATTATAATTTTGAAGATTATAATGTGAAGACAAGACACAGTGGCTATTTATGTTTGCCATTTTTCCCCACTCTAAGAGAACAAAGTGACATGAGATAACAGGTGTGTGTCTCTCATGGGAAACTATTGGTAACAACAAACTGCCAAGGTTTACTTTGGCTTGCTCAATAGGGATTTTATGGAAAAATATGTATTGCAAAAAGTAAAATATAAGCAATAAATTTAATTAAAGCAACATTCTTCCACCTTTACCATGTTTTTAAAATGGCATTTTATTAACACAGCATAGTGAATACTACAGATAATAAGATCACAGGGACAGGGATTATGAGAGATTCTTTCTTCCCGAATCCGGATGCTTCTAGATGATTCAATGAGCCAGTTTGCACAATAAGCCCCTTTATTGTAACTCAATTTCAGAGAGAGAGAGAACCCTGTAGTGACTCTGTACCCTGTTTCATTCATTTGAATGAATTCTGCTTGCAGAGTTTACTACAACGGAAATGTACTGGGACACTAAAGAATGAGAAAATAGCCTTAGAGTCCCGAAACAACTGCATAATTCAGTGGGTTTCTTCCTATATGCCTTGACAGTCATGTCACAGAATGTAATACTGACTCTCTCTGTGTAACTTGATGCAAACATGCTTTCGGATATACCGGCAATGAAATGAATATTTTGCTTAAATTGACTACGGCAGGCTGAAAATTACCCGTTTCCTATGAAAGGCAGAGCAGGGCAAGGGAGGAAGGAGGGTTGGGTGTCCTTGTGCCGAAGCTAAGGGGTGAAAGGGCTTTTTATTCACAGACCTCTCAGTTTAAGCTTCTGTTTCCCATTATTATATCCTCATTCACCTTCAAGAGCCAGCCCCCACCTACACAGAGGAAGAGACCTGGAGATACTCCGCTGACCCCAGGTGCAGCGAGCAGCCGCTGCTCCCACAGGGTTCATGAGAGCATTAATGCATGTTGTCACATACACAAACTACAAAAAGTGAGACAGTAAAAGGGGGTGTAAACAAAATGGTAGGGGTCCTGTTAAAGGGTCTTTTTCAGGTGCACACTGGAACCACTCCAGCTCTCCCCTGGCACTGTCTTTCAGCTAATGAAACACCACCGATATTCCTTTGTGTGACATGATGGGAATTTCTGAGGTCTTTCTGTTCTCAGAATCATAAGTAGTCATAAAGTCTTTACATGCACTTTAAATGTTTGATTTCTGTCAGACTAAAACCACAAGTCATCTTTTTAAAGGGGTCATGAACTGAGAAATAAATTTCTTTGATCTTTCGACATACAAGAGGTCGTTGTACTATAAAAACATCCTGTAAGTTTCTGAACTCAAAACTTTCTCGTTAGTCTAAAAACAGCTTATAATGAAGCCAATCTGCCAAAACAACAGCTTGTGGAATGTGCCACTTTATGACATAATAGTGTGGCTAAACCCCGCCTCCGCAGAAGATGATCAACACCTGCTTCTACATCACTGCCTGTTTAGCCCCGCCCACCGATTCAAGCATCTGGTGTAAATAACTAGAGAGGCATAAGCAGGTCTATGCAGAAACCAAACAATAAAGATGGCTCTGTTGTGGAAAAACACAGTCTTTGCATTGCCTTCCTTCTGATCCCAACATTAGGAAAGAGTGGATGAACTTAATTTTTTTAACTTTATGGTCTACAATCCACCACGCCTATACAAACAGAGCGTTTCGATGAAGGGGTCAAAACAGGACAGGAAATAGCCTATTACTTCTAAATGATGATGTTTTTTTATGTAAAAACATAAGAGGACTTCAGAGAACAGCACAAAATAGTAAAAAAGGCCAGTCTTAACAAATTATTATACTAAGCTGAATCATATAGCTTCTCAAGGGGCTGACCTTGAATTATTACCATCAAACCGGAGGTACAGAGTCCTAAGATTCAACAAAGTTAGGCTGAAACACTCTTTTGTGCATCAGGCGATCCAAGAGTTAAATAAGACACTTAATCAAAAATCAAGAGTATTGTGATATAGTTGTGATATAAGTGGTATAGTTGTATAAGTGTAGTAGAAGGGTAAGGTATAATGTAATGTTTAAGGGAGTGTAATGTATAATACGTTTTATTCTTGTGTGGATGAAGTGCATGTTGTTGTTTTAAGGATTTTGATTGTTGTAAACATAGATACTGTCATGTAAGAAACATTTCAGGCTCTTCTGACAATAAAGTGCTATATCATATATCATATCATATCATATTCATGACCCCTTTTAAAATGCCATATTGTACCAGTCACACTAACAGATCTAAAAAAAAACATGATTTTAACTCAGTTTTGTTTAGCATGTATACATGTTACCCAGACTACAATTGGCCTCTCGATTGATATTAGTCAAAGCTGATCTTTTCTGTAGTGTGAATTTGAGCCCGGCTCTTGTTATTTCCCGATCTCCATCTATCCATCATTTCCTGTCCACTCCTTGTCACTTGGAGTAAAGTATGCTGTGTGTGTAGCATATGGGGGCGTCACAAAGAAAACTGTAACTGAGGGACCAGCAGCTGAAGTCGAGTGTAAAGAACATGTGTGTGTATACAGCTGTGTAGTGCATGTGAGTGTGTGTATCTGTACTGATCTGGCTGGGAAAGATCCCAGTGCTCTGCAGTGTTGATAGGACTTCTAGGGGCTTCTTCTCAAATAACCAAAACAAGAAGCACTAACACAAACATTCAGGCCAACAGGCTTGCTGTGCCTTTTGTTTTAATATACACGTGTGTGTGTGTGGTACACCCTCATGATGACTAATGATGAGTGGGGGCTCAGCTAACAAAACATGACACACAGAATAGGACATGACAAAACACAACCAGAGGCTGAAAGAGAAATCATGAACACAATAAGGTCGTAAATGTTACACTAAGATTAATGACAGAATGCATTAAACAGTGAGTAAGAGAAAAGAAAAGAATGAAAGGGAAATGTGTCACTCACACATTCATCCTGTTGAATGCATGTGAATGCATGTCTATGAATTTTATCAGCCTAGTTTTGGGGTTTGTTATTAGTTTAGATTTATTAATTTATTTCTTCACTTTTTATTTCTGATGTTATAAAAAATGAAAAAAATGTTAAAAATAAAAATAATAATGAATGAACGAACTAACAAATAAATATATAAAAAGAGAACTTTGATACTCACGCATGCATCCTGTTGAATGCTCTGTAGGATGTGTTTAGCGGGCACCAGGAAGTCAATGATGTAGTGCAGTCCGTCCCCACGGTATGTCGTCTCAACCACGTCTAACACTTGGCATAGCACAGTGGCTGCAGTGGCTTCAAATGGAGGGTAGAGAGCAGAAAGTGTGCTCTGAATACAATTGTCCAGAGATTCAGAGTCCTGCAGAGAAACATACAAATAATCAGAGGAAGCACAAAAACTTTCTTTACAACTATATCTCAATAGTATTGACATAATTACAGCAACATTTTTTTATTATTAATACGAACAATGAGAATTAACGATGACCTCAGTTAGGCTACAGATCATCCGACATCCTACATGAAATGCAATATACTGCCCATCAAACTAGCAAAATGGTATTAAGTCCAGCACAGGCACAGATAGACACACTCTCTGGAAATGAATCACCCAAGCCTGGTCTTGTCTGTCAAAACCCAGACCAAGCTTTTCTTCTACCATGTCTACATGTGTCCTGAAAACAGCTGATCAGTGTCCCTGGTGGTCTCCATCATGAGCCTTCCGATCTTTAGAGAAGAACAGAGACTGGCGTTGAAACCTGACTCATGAAGCCAGTGCAGGGACCAATACACTCCTAAAAATAACAGCTGCACCAGCCACATTTTAAGAAATAGGCCTCTAGTCTAAATTTACTGTATCTATTTGCTCTTCGTAAGCATGATATCTTCCTCTGTCAGTTTTGTGGTTGAGCTTGTAGGATGTTCATGGTTAGTCAGTGACTGGTTAATGTCCATTAAAAATTTTATTAATTGAGCTTATTGGTTTGACAGACGATTAATCAATATCAGCATAAATGCCATCATTAATTATGCAAGGAGATGGTAAAAATATCTGTACAGTCCATACAACTTGTGCACTGCATGTCATTTCACGTCTGCAATACAAACGTGCATCACTGACTTTCTTGAAAAAATGAAATGGGCTCAACGTAATCAGCATTGGCGCGTTTCTTTGTAAATAAAGATTGTGTTCACTGCAAATACTATAGTTGTATCTCGTCAGTCTCCCACTATCATCTCAAGCAACAATCATATCAGTGCTCGCCGGGCTAACATGCAGGTAAATTTACCTGAAATCTCAGTGTGGTGGTATGTTATGCACTGGAATCATATTGGGTATTATTAACGGGAATATTTCACAATCCACAATGTTAAATTTTAATGGTGAAAAAGTAATTTTCAATTAAGGGACAATTAATTAATTAAATGACAGTAAAGACAATTAGGTAACACTTTACTTGAAGGGGTGTGCATAAGACTGACATGACACCTTCATAATCATGACATGACACATGTCATGAATATGAAGGAGGTTTTATGCATGTTTATGACAACTGTCATTAAGTGTCATTCGCTCAGTTATGTCATTTTTAATGCAAATATGACATTATTTGACCTAACCCTACCCCTACCCTTACCCCTAACCATAGCCCATAACAAAGACATCTCAAACAATGTCATCTTAGCATTAAAAATTACATAACTGAGCGAATGACACTTAATGACAGTTGTCATAAACATGCATAAAAACCCTTCATATTCATGACATGTGTCATGCCATGATTATGTAGGTGTCATGTCATGATTATGAAGGTGTCATGCCAGTCTTATGCACACCCCTTCAAGTAAAGTGTAACCAAAATA